GCCTGGCTTTGTGAGGCGGGATAGAGCGGCTGGGGGGTCTTCCCCATCCCGCTTAGGGAACGTTTGTGCTTAATGGACGACTTAAAACCTTCCCTGGAGGTATAGGCCGTGCCAGCGGTATGGGCTTTGATGTTCTGAGTTAATTGGTATCAATCGCAGGCTGTAATAATTGGGCTCTTCTTAGGCAGTTATCTCTCATGCTGCTGCGACGTTTGGAGCCAAGTGTGCTTTGCTTCGTGGCTGCTGATTTACCTGTGGAGTGGGTGAGGAACACGAAAGCCTCCAGAGTGAGGAGAGGCCTGGAGGGTTTTGCCAGGTGCTAAGTGAGGGTTGTGTGTCAATAGAACGCTACAAAAAACTTAAAAAAAACCCTACAGAAGTTACAGCTCTTGGTCTGTGAATGTGGAGATTGTTAGGAGAAAAATATTCGAGCTGTTTGTTGCTTTAGCCATGTTGCTGCTAACCTTGTTTTGGAAAATTTCATAGCTACCAACATTTTTTTAATACCAGGTCTGTGGAATGAAGACCACACTTTCTTCAGGTAATTTTTGGCCTCAGGTCTTAAATGCCGAGGAGATAAGGATCAGCATTTTGAACATGATGTTCTTCTGTGAGGAATGTTTTGGGCTGGAGGTCAGATTTGTTTATCTGCTGTCCCAGAGGTGTGTTCTTAGCCTGTGTGTCAGGCTGCTGGTGGCTGCAGGCTGTTCTGCCCAGGAATGTTGCATATCTGCTGTCTGACCCAGAGCTGACAGATCTAATAACAGAGCTTGACTTGATGGTCTGGAGTTAATTGGAGATAATTTGGGGATGGTGAGGAAATGGCGACATCTCAATTTGAAAACCTGCCTCTGCTGCCTGAGTTTGTGGGTTGTGCTTCACGTGACCAGGAAGGAAGCTTTCCAAATGTCACTTTTTTGGGGAAATTGTCTGTATCTGGGTGGTTTTTAAATCACAAAATAGTTAATATGTGCTTAGGGTAACTGAGAAAATGTTCATGAGGGCAACTCCTCCTGCCTCCTTCCTGCCAGGAAGGGCTGGAGGCACCTCTGATCCCAGAGGGTGGGGATCCCAGTGCCACCATGGCACCAGTGTGACTTGTCACATGTTAGCCCGGGCTAGGGAAGGATCTTCCCATCATCATTTCTCCCCATCAGGTTGTGATGGTTCTATGTGGAGAATGTTTATGTCTTAGATTCTGTTTACACCTCAGAGCTTCCTCCTGGCCACTGTACCAGAGCTACAGATCCAAGTAACACATCATCAGCAATTTGTCTTATATGAGGAGACAGTTTATTCTTGAAAGTATAAATACAGATGTCTACTTAATTCTGTTGTGTTTTTTTTTCCCTGGCCCCCTTTATGTTTGGAGTCTCTCCAGGGAGCTTATCTTTTAATCGAGCTGCAATTCTATTTGTAGTATCAAGCTCCATGTGGCAAAGCTGACAGGGCTGTGGTGATAATGCCAGTTCATGTGAGCAGATTTTCACTGTCCTAGGGGGCCAGAAAAGAGGATCTGCCTAACCTGGATCTTGATTCTTTGTGATTTCTGTTCCACTCATGAGGTCTGGATGGCACGTTTAAGAAATCTTGTAGAGGAATGTGTGTAATAGTTTCTTTGGAGGCAATAAGATCTTTCCTTTCAGTTCCTTCTTCCACACATCACAAATGGGAGAATTTTTTTCCCTAGTTTTGATGCAACATTTCAGTTCTGTTGCCCAAGGAAAAATAATAAGCAGAAAACACCTGAAAGTAACTATTTCAGGGTGTTATTTTCTGTAGCTCTTGCTTTAGTGTTGGTGTGGCTGGATCCCAGTTGCTCATGGGGATGGACAGAGCTGCTGTGGGAATTTTCTCTCACCTGCTCTTCCAACTTTGGGATACTCACAGGCAGACATGGTGTATTTTGGAGGGAATATGGGGCTCCTTCCTTCCTGCTGTCTAGAACTCCCTTAAAAAGAAGCCCTGAATGCTCAGTTGGTTTCATACTTGGTTACCACATCTTTTAAACAATCTCTGTGGACTTCTGCCTGCCTGATCTTGCCCTTTCAGTGTGTGAAACCACTGGGATGGCATCTAAAATCCTGCAAAAAAAGTATTCCAACTTTACAGCTCAAGTGGTTTCCTTGACATTTCCTTTTGACCTGGATTTTGTTAGGCTGGATTTTGTTAGGCTGAATATATTGAATATGTTCTAGGTTAATGTTTATCTGAATCCTTCACAGTTCTATCAAAGCTTGAGGTGTTTTTAGGCTGACATAGAAGCCTTAAATGTGGGATTGCAAAATATTTCTGCATCCTACTGCATGACTTCAGAGCATGTTACACAGCATTTCAACCCAGGGAGAGTGTAAATAGTTCCAGATTGAGGAATAACTATAAAAAAAACCTGGGTGTAGCTTTTAACACACACTAAATTTTCTATTATTTCTCTTTTGTCATGTAGTGACACCACAAATTCTGCTTGTGTTGAAGGTGGTGTCCAGAAAGTACAATATTTTTCATGTGTTTGTAACATATCCTTGGGATTGGAAATGTGTTCCCCTCAGAGCCAGAATTTCTGGTGTGGCTCAGACCTTGCAGGGCTGAAGTTGAGCAGAAGTTCTGTTGTGTACAGATCACTTTTAGAAACTTTACCAGCTATTTTGAGTAACAAGTTCTCATTTATTTTTCTGCATCTTCCCATTCAGCACAAAAACCAGGGAGATGAATTGGCTTAGTTAAGGAAATTGTGTCAGGCTGAGGCTCAAGTATTCTCCTGTTTTAAATGCTGTTATTTGATGGAGTTTGTGTCCTGGTAGGATCAGGTTGATTTAGAAATAGTCTTCACTTCTAATTTTTAAAATGTTGACCTGTTTGAGTTGATTTACAGAAATAGTTAATAAATAAATATTCAATTAAATGAATGAAATGAAAAATGAAATAAATATTCAATACAGTTGTTGGCATGCACAGAGGTTTTGAATTTGTCATCCAAATATTAATTGGAGGAGAAAGGAAAGTGATGTTAGGTAAGAGTCAGTGACCTGAGCATTTAGTGAAGTATAGGATTTTGTTGTTAAAATTCTTCTAGTGCAAGACTATAAATGTGGTGGGGCAATGTTTGACTTAATGATGTTGAAGTTGAATAGTGTGCTAAGGAGAAAATAGAGGGACATGGATCTGGAGCATTGTGAGGAGGCAAAGCAAGGCTTGGTCAACTTGAAAGTATTATGAAATAAGAAGATTTGGTTGCAGTGGATGGATATGGGAGAAAATAGTGGGTCTTTGTGATGTAAGAGGGCTGGAGCAGCTCTGCTCTGGAGCCAGGCTGGGAGAGTTGTGTTCAGCCTGGAGAAGAGAAGGCTCCAGGGAGACCTTAGAGCAGCTTCCAGTGCCTGAAGGGGCTCCAGGAAAGCTGGGGAGGGACTTGGGACAAGGGCAGGGAGGGAGAGGACAAGGGGGGATGGATGAAAAGTGGCAGAGGGAGATTGAGGTGAGACATGAGGAGGGAATTCTTTGCTGTGAGGGTGGTGAGAGCCTGGCCCCGGTTGCCCAGGGAAGCTGTGGCTGCCCCATCCCTGGCAGTGTTGAAGGGCAGGTTGGATGGGGCTTGAAACAGCCTGGGCTGGTGGGAGATGTCCCTGCCCGTGCAGGGGGTGGGACTGGATGATCTTTATGTCCCTTCCCACCTAAACCATTCCATGATTCTAAGTTGTCTGCTGTTAGGAAATGTTTGTTACTGAGCCTGCCTGCAGAGCTTTGGTTTTGCAAATAACGTGAAGGGAGGAAACTTTGTTACTTTCAACCTAGTTTTTAGGATAGAACAACTGGAGGGGGCGTGGAGCAACCTGGGCTGGTGGGAGGTGTCCCTGCCCGTGCAGGGGGGTGGATCTAGATGATCTTGAAGGTCCCTTCCCACCCAAACTATTCCATGATTCTAAGTTGCCTGCTGTTAGGAAATGCTTGTTACTGACCCTACGTGCAGAACTTTGGTTTTGCAAATAATGTGAAGGGAGGAAACTTTGTTAGTTTCAACCTAATTTTTAGGATAGAACAACTTCCAAGAGGTGGTATGTCATTGATCAAATGCCAGAGTAGTTAATGTATGTGATTATTTTTCTTTGCTTGCAGTGAAGGTGAACGACCAAGCCAAAATGAAAAAAGAAAAGAGAAAAGTGTCAAAAGAGGAGGAAATCGCTTTGAGCCGTACGCTAACCCTGCTAAGAGATACCGAGCTTTTATTACAAATATTCCCTTTGATGTCAAGTGGCAGTCTCTGAAAGACCTGGTGAAAGAGAAAGGTAATGTACAACTCAGGTGGCCAAGTGATGTCTGTCATCTTACTCGTGGCTGACTTTTTTTTTTTGTGAACTTGTGAAGAGTTGAAGTTGTGTGTGGACGTAGCGAGATGAGTTTTGGACAAAGTCTGCCTGAAACCCTTTTTGGGAGTTGCACAACATCTGCTCCCTGGCAGCCTTTCAGGTGGATTGTTCCTTTGCAGGCATATTGGCATACAGCTAATAGTGCTTCATTGGAGATTGAAGAGTCTTTTTCTTAGGGGGGTGTGGAAAATGAGGCTTTAATCAGATTTTAGCCTCGACATTGAACAAAACTGCCTGAAGCATTTTGTCTTTGGGGTAGTAAAGGTAGTTATGTACTGCTGATCTGGTGTGTGTATATCTGGCTGTGTCCCCACACTTGGCAGTGATTTGTGCTTAGGTAAAGATCTCTGCTGCCATTTGATAGCAGTAACATGTTTTTAAAGGTGACCTGCAAAAGAGAACAATCAGGTTTGTGCTTTGTTTGGGCTTTGGATATCCTGTTCCTGGTGTTTCCCCTTCCTCACTCCTGTTTAACTGTCCCATGTCAATGGGATCTGCCTTGGTTGACCTTAGCATCTTCATCTATTGAAGAAGTTGAGCTGACTGCTTACACTCAGGTGGTGACAAGTCTAAATGTAGTGTTATTTCTATAAGCTGATGCCCAGCTCTACTTATTTTTAAGTCACCTTGGGAATGCAGCAGAGTGGCAAGAAAATACTTGGCTTCTCCATCATTAAAATGTCTCAAAATGAGTTCAGAGTAACAAATGCAACCCCTTCCTCTTGTGGGTCACTTCTAAAATACATAGCATCAGTCCTAAACGTCTTGCAAAATAGTGATCAGTGTTTCCTTGTGTTTGAACTAGGTGAGGGATGATAGTTTAATGTGTTCACGAGGTGTGGCCTAATGAATGAGAAAGCACATTTCCAAAGGGTTGGAAAATGTTTGTCTTTGGAGGCAAAATGGAGCTGAGTTTGCGTAACGAACTTCAGGACTGTGAGCCCTGGGAAACTTCCCTAATTAGAGGCTGTGAAACGTGGAGATTCAGCAATGGTTTGCTGTCATGTGAAGAATTCAAGACTGCTTTAACAGGCCCTAATTCTGAACGGTCCCTTGCCTTAAGCCATGCTCTCCCTTTGCTGCACAGAACCCTTGGGGAACAGGAGTATGTGTATGTGTAGATGTCTAATTTTAAGTACTATGTTGAATTCCGTTCCAAGTGTCTTGTGGTTTCTCTCCAGTTCACGTGGATGGAAAAGTCCGGTGTGAGATTGTTTCCTGCCTTGCTGTTCAGCTTCTCATTCCAGCAGATACTCCTAGGGGAACGTTGAAACCTCTTCATTCTGTCTGCAGGGCTTGTTATGCTGAACCTGGAGCAGCATTTTTCGTGGTTTTTGGGACTGCTGGTTCAAATATAACAGTTTAGATTTGCCGTGTAGTTGAGATTCGTTCTAATTAGTCACTTGACTTCTACCAAATTGGTGCTCTGGTGCTGTGCTTGAACTTGCTCAATCGGGACTTTTTGATACAAGGCATAGTAGTTCCAAGAACCAGGAATGTGAACGTGGACAAACCTAAAAGTTAGAATTCCTGGTTTGTAAGTGTAAGAATTACAGGCCAAAAGGTCAGGGTTTGGGGAGATCTGTATCCAAAGGGTAACCATAGGTGTTTCATGACTGCTCCGTGACTGGGCATTCGTGAAGACTGAAGCTGGTAGCAGCTCTGGCATGGCAGGTTGCTGGCCGTGGGAGGAGTTCCCCTCCATCAGCTGGTTGGTGTCAGTAAGTATGGTTTAGGAAACGTGAGCTGTGAGGTCTGCTCATATTTCTGCAACCTGGTTTTTCTCAGACGCGTACAAGTCTTCTAAAGGTGACATCTCTCAAGAGCAATGAGTTCAGTCATTTCAGTGTATGTGTTGGTGAAACTCAATTACAGGTATGCAGTATGACACACTTATTAATGAGATGCAAAAATGTTCTTGTTTGGAACTCCCTTGTATTGGCTGATAAACACAAGGTTCTCCTAAACTGACATTGGTCACTGGCAATTGGTGAGTGTCTTCAGGAGAAGAAGGAGGCAGCAGTTCTGCAGCATGGAAGTGCAGTCTAAAAGTAAGCATGATTGAATGTCTTAACCTGTCCCCCAGCAAATGGCTCTGTCTCAGGGAGAAAAGTGGTAACTATTCCTGGCAGCTGGCATTAGTGAGGTGGTCCCATATGGTAACAGCGAACTTGTGTTTGAATTGGAGATACTTACGGATTCCTTTAGGAAATACAGAATTTGAGATTTTAAGCCTTTTTCCTGACCAGTGTAGCAGCCACCTTTGTGCGGGCGGAGCTGGGGAGGGAACCAGCCATTCCTGCCTCTTCACACCACAGCCAGGGTGTGGACAGATGTGAGGGGCAGAAGCAACAAACCTTCCCCAGTTTGACCCTTCTGTGACAAAGAGCAGCTGCTAAACTTCATGTGCTGCCTTCTTGCTCCATCTTCAGAAATGTTTGGAACCTTTGTGGCCTCCTAAAGATGTAACTGATGTCCTCTTGCTGTGGTGCTCAATCCCAAATGTTCATTGAGATACTTTAGATACCACTAACTGTCACTCCAGTGCCTTGAAGAGAGCTGCTACTGGAGAGTCCCTGAGTTTCAGTGCCCAGAATCCTGTCACACTGTGCTTGCAGGCTGGTGTTCTTAGATTTTAAAGAGAACAAGAGGAATAAGCAGTGTGGAAGTGTTGTTCCCCATCTGCCTTGTTTCCCCATACTTTTCAGCTAGGGAATTGCTCTATTTTCCTTGGCCTTCACCATCTTTTCAAGGAGACATTGGCCTTCATCAGTGGATAAAAACTTCTTCACTTCATCTTTCCTGTCTGGGCTGTTAGAGAGCCAAAATGACCCAGGCTTTTTTTCTGGGTTCCCTCATGCAAAAGTGAGATTTCCTTTTTTCCTTGCTATAAAAGAATAGCTTGCAAACTCTTTTCTGTTTCTGCTTTGGGAAGAATGTTTTTCTTCTGTTTTAGCTAAAGCTTTGGGCATGTATAGATTGTGTTTCTTTCCTCTCCTCCATGTGGCTTGCTAGAAGTTGCCTGCCAAGAGCTTTAAACACTGTCCATGAAGGAGGAGCTGGGACTGAATTCCCTCATATTGAAAGGATTAGGCTTCTGATGGCAGGTTTCTCTTGAACCAGTCCCACTGCTTGTAGTTCTTCTCTTCAGAAGATGATGGGACATCCATATAGTCATGTTGATGTCTTGGGAGGCTTCCTTCTCTATTTAATATTTACTTTTGACCTTCTAGGCCATAAAAAGTTGTTATCATAAGGGATTTGCCCCTTTTTCAGTGTCTGTGCTTCTCCTTTTGTCAAGACTTGCCTCTGCACCATTCATGCCTTTCAGAGCTTCTTGGTCTGTCAGTAACTGTTAGAATCATATTGCCCAACTTGACAGTGTTCAAAGTTGACATCTGTGTCTGAGCTTGTTATCCTGGTTACTTCCCAGATCTGTCTCTGGGCCCAGGTGAATCTGAGCTGTCCCTCAAGTCACCATGTGGATACACTTACCTGGGATTCCTGGACAGTGTTTGTAGAGTATCTGAATGCTGACAGACCTAATCTGGCTTGGACATCTTAATTTTCCATGCAGATAAACTTACTTGGGAAGTGAAACTACAGTTTGAGGGGTAAAAACCCAATGGCTGTAACAATAAGTAACACTGGAAATCCCTTTGTCTGAATTTCTAGTTATTGCAGTGATTTCTGCTTTAATCTCTTGGTTTAGGAAGCATCAAGTTTCTGAACTTTATCAAGGGGGAAGTTTTAAAGAATAAATCAGCCTGCTCTTTAGTCTTAAAGATGCCAGGGGGAACATGTTCCTTAATTATACTTGCTTTGTCTTAGAGCTAAGATTTTCTGCAAGTTTTATCTCCCTTTGGAGGCTGGTCTGGTAATAAACTTGAGTTCCTGAAGTAAATGAATTGTCTCCATTTGTGGATATAGGATCTGTTTCTTGATACCAGCCAACTGTTCTCTAGCAGGAAGATGATCTGCCTGGCTCCCTGGGCATTTCTTTTGCCCCCTGAAGGAGGTTTAGCCTGTGGCTACAATGCTGCCCTTGCCTGCGGTTCTGCTTTATCCCCAGTGCCTGATCTTCTGATATATTGTGGTTTGGGATCTAGGAAAAAAAAAAAGCCAAATAAAATGTAACTCAGTTTAGGTCCTTAAAGTTTTCCTTTTCCAGCCTGGAATGATAATCAACTGGAAAGTTACAATGAATCGTTTTACATGGTTTTCCAGTGAAAAATTGCATTTTTGTTGCAGTTCTTTTGTCCTGTGGGCTTGGTGTCTGAGATATTAAGCTGTCCCACAATTTGTCTCATTCCTTTCTTCCCTGATTTTTTAACTTTGGCTCTTCAGGAAGGTCAGATGCCATTTGAAGGAAAAAACCTACTTCTAGATACATATTTAGTTTTAGTTATAGGTGTCTATAAAGCTTGGTTCAGAGGTCAGATTTGTCAAAAGAGTGTTAAATCATATTTAATAAATTAGGTTCAAGCTTGGCAAACTTCTTTGGAAGTGTTTGTGGTTGGGAGAGGAGAGTCCTTCATCCAGGGCTCAGTAGTGTTAGTAGGAGCAAAGTCACAGCCTTGTAACCTGTGACTCTGTGAAACCAAGTAGTTTTGTCCTGTAGGTAATCTAGGAGTTTGGTGTCTTCCTACAGAAATTGTTGAATCCCATTTTCATTTTTGATCCAAGTTTGGTTGGACTCTGGCTGCTGCTGTTGAGCTGGTTGGTTTCAGAAGGGCTTGGACTCAGTGCATGGCCACCATGTACCACCAATGATTAGCCCAGGAGAGCTGCTTACAGTGCAGTCCCTCTCACTACACAGACTGTGGAAACAACTACATGATCTCCTGCTGTTCAGCTGATAGGATGGAATTAATTTTAGTAGGCTATATTTCAAGAAGTATTGTTTGGACACAAAGCTCTGGCTTGGAACACTCGATCTGCCCTGTCCCTTTCAAAGGGACTTGCTTGTTAGACTCTACCAGTCTCAAACACAATCCTCAGAAACACATGAATGGATCAGAGGTTCTCTTCTGCCCAGCTGACTGTTCTTTGGCTGGAATGCTCATATTGCTAAATTAAAAATGTAGGGAGTTCATTGAACATTCCTTCTCTTTGAGCTTTGAGAGGGACCTTTCAGGATGTTGGTTTCCCATAATGCCACTAGGTGTCCTGTCAACCACTGGTCCTGTGGGAGGTCAGGATGAACACCTCATCCTCTCCTGTTCCTTGCTAGGAGCTGGACTCTAAATCATGAAAGTCCAGTTTCTTGCTCCAAGGATACCATAAGTATTCAGAGTGGGTTGTGGTCTCCCACAAAGACTGCATTCCTTAGGACTTCTAAAACCAAAAAGAAAATGTTAAAAACCCCCTGTTTTCTTCCATGATTCTTCTGTGTCCAGTCACTTCAAAGGCAGCAGCCATAGTAGTTGGATTCTGGAGGTACACAATGGTCTTATGGTCATCCAAAGGCAATCCTAATCTTGTGAGGAAAGGTGCAGATGTGGTTTCCCAGAGCCTTTTGCCAGTTGCTGGAGACAGTTTTGCCTTGAGAGCAGAGATGGCAGACTGTTTAATACCACTAATTGAAGCTAAAAGAAAGGATTTTATTGTGGCTTTACAAAAGGCCAAACAACTACTGAAATAAATTGTGATCTCTTGGTTCAGTCTGACTCCCTTTATGGAAGCTTGTCTTTAAATCCAGAGAAAAGCAAGTAACTCTTCAAGTTCTGGTCTCTGGAGACAAGATTGCCTGTAAAGCGAAGGAAACTTACTCTTGCAGACTTCCCCATGGATTTGGATTGCCTCAAGTAATGAGTGGGTCCTAAAAATCAAGGAAACCAATATTGTGGAAACAGCTGGCTACTGAAGTGGAGGAAAATCAAGAACATGTTGACCTGTTTTAAAGCTTTACTGCATACCTGTAATTGTCCAGTTTTGTGGTCTAGAGAACATGGAGTGTTTCTGGGCTTTCTTATAAGGCAGAGGCTCCATACACGGTTGTTGATTGTTCTAAATTCCCATTGTTTTCTTGGCTTTTCTCCCTTGGTATATGTGTCGTCTGGAATCTGATTTGTAGTTGGTGAGGTAACATACGTGGAGCTCTTAATGGACGCTGAAGGAAAGTCAAGGGTAAGTGTTTGAGAGATTTCTTCTGTGGATTTTCTACATGACAAATGTAACTGTATGGTGGCGTGGAACGAAACGAAGTCAGGAAGGTAGAGAGTGTGTATGTTTAGTGGCTATAACAGGTTCTTTTGGGGAGGGGAGGAGGTGGGATGGGGTCTTGTAGGCAGGGTTAGGGTGGTCTTCCACTGTGTTCAGTTGGTGTTGGCTGTTTGGATGACCCCAGGACCCCAGCAGTATGTAGAGTGGTACGGAATATTAAAGCAATACTTGTGTTTTGGAAAACGTCACTGTAGTGGTTTGCTGAATTTGTAAGGCCAGTGTGTAAAAGCAGGTTCTGTAAACTATGATTCCTGGGACAGTAAACAGAATTCAAGTCCTCAATGTAAACGTATATTGCCTTCAGAGGTACTTAAGTCCTTTAGTCCAGCCACGGGATCTTACAAGGAGAAAAGAGCAGGGCACACTTTACTGAAGGATATGGATTGAGGGTGAGAGAACATGGCCAGGGCTTTGCTGTATGACAGGGAAGAGCAGGTCACATGAAGCGTGTGGTATTTTTCTTGGAGAATCCGGACTTAGTTCTGTTTGTTCCAACTTGAGAAGCTACAGTTTAATCCTGTTAACCCCTAAGAGATTATATATAATGGAGCTCAAGTATTGAAGGCTTTATTGGGTAAGATTGCGTTGATTTTTCACTCTTAGGGCTAACTAATGTGATTTGACTTGATAAAAAGAAGTGGTTTTGTGTGTTTTGTGCTTTTACTTACTTGATTTCTTCTTTCTTCCCTCCTCTCCTCCCTGTTACTCGCCTGTGAAATCATCTCGTCAGGGATGCGCGTAAGTTCACTTCTGAATTTCTAGCAAGAAATGAGGAAACTCTCATTAAAAAAATCAGCAATGTTCTTAGCTGTCTTGTATCCCCACAGTGTTGTTGAATTCAAGATGGAAGAAAGCATGAAAAAGGCTGCAGAGGTTTTGAACAAGCATAGTCTTGGTGGAAGACCATTGAAAGTGAAAGAAGTAAGACGTGCATCTGTTCTTTCAGTATGTTGAATTTGAAGGTGAAGGGGTAGCTCTTAGTCAAGACTTATGGCTGGTTTATTTGCAGATAAGAGTAACTGACAAAGGGCAGGATGTGCCAAATAGGATTTAAAAAAAAAAGACAACTTTTTGAACCAACAGTATGTGCTGCTGAACTTGAGTTTGAACATGATTATCAAGACTAAACTTGATTTAAAGAATAGATGCTGATGGGAGCAATGCAGGACTTAAACAAAGCAAGACTTTGGCTTTAACTGGAGGTCTGTTATTTGAAGAAACTTGCATCAGAACTCTTTGTTTTTGACTGCCTACATTTTTAATTCTGGATCTTAAAGAATGTGTTCTACAAACAACTCTGTAGAATAAGCTGCTTTCTGTAATACCTCAAAAGACTTAATTCCAGTTTAATGGCTTTGCTATTGTCAACCAGTCAACATGCTCAACTGTACCATGAGTTAATTCTTAACCACTGACAAGTTAAAAGTTTTATTCCAACAGTTTGGAACCTGTAGCTGCATTGAAGGTTCAGTTAAACAAAAATGAAAAGGGACTTAATTCAGTGTTAGCATTGACTTTTGGCCTTAGGGTGTGTGAGCTGTGCTCTTGGCTAAGCAGGCTTCGTGTTCTGTGGTGCCCTGCCCACTTCATGGTGGGTGATGAGAGATGTCTGCATGAGTGTAGAATGTATGCAGAAGGTCTGCCATCAGCACCGTGCTCCTTGCTGTGGTCCTGGGAGGAAGGATGGGGGCAGAAGTGGAAGCATTTGTCAGATCACGCAGGTTTTGTGAGTAAGGAATTCTGGAGCAGCCTGCTTCTGGGCACAAGCTGTCTTCTGCCACCGCTGACCTCTTGCTGCCCTGTGAAGGAGGGAAGAGGTGACATGGAAGGTTGGAACAACATAGTTGCACCTGGAAGTCATCAGGCAGTGACTGATCTGGTAGGAAATGTCCCTGCCCACGGAGGGGGTTGGATCTAGATGATCTTAAGGATCTCTTCCAACCCAGACCATTCTGTCATTCTCTAAGGGGACTTTGGAAGAAAAAGCTGCTTAAGGTGGCTGTGTCTGGCTCAGTGTCCTGTTAATGATACACCACTAGTGCTGAATGTCAGGTTGCCCTTTGGTGTCAGGCTTTGAGAAGAGGTGCTTGTAATTTGCCCAGCTCTTCATGAAACTGAGACTCTGGCCCAGGTTGCCCAGGGAAGCTGTGGCTGCCCCATCCCTGGCAGTGTTGAAGGGCAGGTTGGATGGGGCTTGGAGCAACCTGGGCTGGTGGGAGGTGTCCCTGCCCATGCAGGGGGTTGGATCTAGGTGATTTTTAAAGTCCTTTCCAACCCAAACCGTTCCATGATTCTGTGAAGAAGCTTTTTTAGCAGTCTTAGGGACTTCAGCAACACTCACCCCAGCCAAGTGCTGCAGTCTGTATGGAATTAATTACTGTGGGTGGCCATTAGCATCAGGTTTCCCAGCTCTCAGGCTACACCTCTCCTGTTGGCTGCCTCACTGCTGAGTGAGGCCTTCCAGGGACATAATAAAAATTGATAGCAGAATAGAGAAAGCTCTTTGCCTGATGAGAAGATCTGAATTTGTTTGACAACCACTCTTGGCTTTCTACTGGAGCTAATCTGGTTTTAAGTAATACCTTATTTTGCCAGTGGAATGGGAAATTTACATTGAAAAGTGACTTATATTCACTTTAATGTGTTCTCCACCTCAGACTGCTGTCATTTTCTGTAGCTGAAATAATAATATGAAAGCTATCCTGTCTCCTGTCCTCAAAACATGCTATTGTTTAGTCTTAAAATTCAGACCAAGTTTCAAATTAAATCAAATAGCTTTTTATTTTAAAGCATCTGTATTTCTGACTCATTAATTCCATTGGACACTTTGCTTTCTTCAGCAGTCTTGCAGTGCTGGTGCATTTTGCTCAATAATAGTGTGATGCTTCCAACCGAAATAATTCAGCTCACCTTGTGAAGGTGCTTAGTTCACTTTCAGTAGAAAGTGACAATTATTAATCTCATATCCTTCCTTGAATTCTTCATCCAATTATTCATGTTCTCCAGCATGTCCTGAAATTGTGAATTATGTAGTAATAGGGGGGTGCATTGAAAGATTTTTTGGTGTTAGAAAAGCCAGAGTGGTGGGGGGGAAAGAGCCCAAATCAATCTTGGAGTTTTACCCGCTGTGTCTTGTAAATGAGTTTGTTGCATTGTTTTGAAGATGCCAAGAGTTGGCATTTGTCTTCCAAAACCTCCCCAGTGCCATGCTGGGTTTGTCAATCTTCAGAACAGGTGAAATTTGGAGGTTTGGTGGTGTTGAATAATAAACACTTGGAGAGTCAGGGGAGATGCATGAGTAGGAATGGTGGCTGAAGGGTGGTGGCATATTGGTTAAAAGAGATTAAATTACTGGGTGGTGATGGGATGGAGATCTCTAGGGAGCAGCTAGCCCTGTATGAAGGGAAATCCCTACTTCTCCTGACTGCCATGCCCCTAAATCCCAGTGGGATGCAGAGGGAAGGCAGGATGTGGTGTCTGTTGTTGCAGGATCCTGATGGGGAACACGCCAGGAGAGCAATGCAGAAGGTCATGGCATCAGTTGGTGGGATGGGGATTGGTCCTGGCCCAGGTGGTCCTGGCATGATCAACATCCCACCCAGTATCCTCAACAATCCCAACATCCCCAACGAGATCATCCATGCCTTACAGGCAGGGAGACTGGGAAGCACTGTCTTTGTGGCAAATGTAAGTGCTGTGGAATCTGTGACCAGAATATCTGAAAAGAAAAAGACTTGTTTTGGAACCAGTTTTATTTTTATGATGTACGTGCTCATTGTTTTACCCAGGATAATCCTGGGTTGCTTTTTAAGAGGTGGAATGAATGACATGATTTTGGATAAAAAGTCAAATCAGCAAAAGGGACATGGGAAATGTCAATAAAAACTGATAGAGGAGGTCATGGTTCTGCATTGCAAAGGAAAGGTCAGCATTGGGCTGCTGCCTAGTAGACAGCAGTTGTATTTGGAAATGATGAAATGCATTTTTTCTTGTTCAAGATGCAAGAACAGCAAAGATATTAATATACTCAGCTCTCCTTTTAGTTGGGTTTGAAGAAAAGTCTTTCAAGTCATGTTGAAATGAGTTGTTTTGGACTAGATGATCTCTAGACTTCCAACTCTGACAATTGTCTTAACTGAATTAAATCTAATGAATTAGAAGAAACCCTTGGACTTTGAGCTCTGTTCCAGTAAAATTTTGTGAGAAGTCTTGTTTCTTTACACTAGTGAAGCTGTAAATTGAGGTGGATCCTGGATGTTACAATGTCTGTTAACTTGTGTTTTTAACAAACCCTAGAACATTGCAATAATTCTTTGTGCTAGTTCAAGTTTCTCCTCTCTCTGTAAAGACATTCTTAAGCTTGCTGATACTGGGAAAGGAAATGTAAGAACACTGAAGCTGTTTTTGATGGAAATCCTTTCTCATACTTCCAATATCACTTGCTTTCCAGCTGGATTACAAGGTTGGTTGGAAGAAACTGAAAGAAGTCTTCAGCATGGCTGGTGTTGTGGTTCGGGCAGACATTCTGGAAGATAAAGATGGCAAAAGTCGTGGGATTGGCACTGTCACTTTTGAGCAAGCCATAGAGGCTGTTCAGGCTATATGTATCCTTGGAAAGCAGTGATGGTAAATAGGGGAACAAAGCAGGATGAAAAGAGAAATGGTAGAGTTCCAAGGGAGGATGTTGTCATGTCACAGTAAGTCAGGTTGGATGGAAAATGTGGGGAAGACTGAAAAAAGGGGAGGGGGAAACCCAGCTGGAAGGAATTGTTGCTGTTTGCTCAGGATTATTAACAAAGTGGATTAATTCCCATGTGGATATATGGATTTCTAGCCCAAATAGTAAATTTCTGTCTATGTTGTAGCTAGTTTTAAAGTGCAATTTCTGAGAAAATCAGAAATTCCTGTGATGGAGGGAAAGGGGGGAAGCAGGAGATCCCTGTGCAGTGTCAGGGGGTTTGACTTGGTGTGTTCCTCTATGCTTACACTGTGCAAGGGGTGGTTGGCTACACTGCAAGCTACACAACCAAACAACAACAAAGCACAGACACTGCTGCCTGTGTCATCTCTCAACCTGTGACTGTGGGATGGAAAGGAGGGAAATACTTCCTTCTTTTCCCGCAAAGAAAAAGTTTCTCTCTCTCTTTGAATGTGAATTCCATTCTGCACGTGCATATACAAGCAAGGCTTGTACAAATTGCTCACTGTTCACTGGGGGTAATGGTTTTAAACTGGAAGAGGGAGATTGAGGTGAGAATTGTGGAGTGTGAGGGTGGTGAGAGCCTGGCCCAGGTTGCCCAGGGAAACTGTGGCTGCCCCATCCCTGGCAGTGTTGAAGGGCAGGTTGGATGGGGCTTGGAGCAACCTGGGCTGATGGGAGGTGTCCCTGCCCATGCAGAGGGGTTGGAACTAGGTGATCTTTAACATCCCTTCCAACCCAAACCAGTCTGTGAGTCGTACTTCAAAATCTGGCTATTTCTTGATTTGCTAATACTGAGAGATTTTGCACATTTTCTGTGTTAAGTGGCTGAAGTTACTGATGAAACATTTAAACTCAGCTGGTTTGGAGTTGCATTTTGAGCCCTGAACTGTATCTGAACCAGAAGAGTATCTTTAACTTGTGTTTTAATTTTCAAAAGGCATTCTTTGAATATTCAGTTACTTGGATTTCAAAGTCTTTTTGTTTTGGAGAAGGCAGAAGGATTGTTGATAATCTGTGAACAGATTATCAATCTGTTGACAATCTAGAACAGACTATCAGTCTGTGAACAGATTAACGACAACTTAAGCAGCAACCTGGAGAGCTGTGGTTTTCTGACTGGGGTTTCTGTCCTGGGCACTAGTTTAGCACTCAGAGCTTTCAGATTTTGGTGGTTCTAGTGTGTGAACAATGATCCTTAATGAAACAACAGCCATGTTTAATGGACAGCTGCTCTTTGACAGACCCATGCATGTAAAAATGGTGAGTAGGTTCAAATTCTAACAGCTTTTGGAACTTGATTTTGCATGATTTTGGGTTTCAGCTCTGGGAGGGACTGTGGGACTTGCCTGATTCCTAGTGATGTCTACTCCTGCTGCCAGGAGAGGTTAATTAATTCTGATTATTTTGCTAAAAGACAACCCTAAATACACTCAAGGTAGCTTTAACTTGATGTTTGTTTTAATTAAAAACCCAGCTCATCAAACCAACCAAACAAGAAATCACTACTTAGTTTTCTTGCCAACTTTTGATGTTTTGCATTGTTTTTAGGATGAAAGAGCCTTTCCCAAAGGAGACTTCTTTCCTCCAGAGAGACCCCAACAACTCCCTCGTAAGTATCTCCTCCATGATTGAACATATTATGGTTTTTATTTTGCCATTCAGCAACTGGGGGCCTGATCCCAGCCCCAGTAAGACTGGTAAGCTGGGACCCAAATCATCTGAATAATAACAAAGGGGGAAATAGTAAAGAAGAGCTGCTCAGACTCTCTCTTTTTATGGATACTTCTTTCAGCTCATAGCTAGAAGCTTGTCTTAAAACAATATCCCATTCACATTTCAAGGCTTCCAGATCTCGCAATTGCAATTCAAAGACCCTGATGCCTTTTAAAACTACTGTTAATGGTGGGTTTTAATGGAAACTTAATTAGTCAATAGTGTACCCCTTGTACATGATGGTTTTCTGGGCATCTAGTGTTTTCCCTTCAATGGAATGGGATGGATTGAGAACCTGAGAATCTTCCAGGATTTCAGGTTTCTAAAGGGGATCCAATCAGTATATATAAATACCTGAAGGGAAGATATAAGGGGGAGGGACCCAGGCTCTTCTCAGTGCCCAGTAACAGGGCAAGAGGCACTAAGTGTCAGCTGAAACACAGGAGACTCCCTGTGAAAATAAGGAGACATTCCTGTGGGGGTGACTGAGACCTGGAACAGATTTTCCCAAAGAGCCTGTGGAGTTTCCATTCTTGGAGATCCTCAAAAGCTGTGTGGATGTGGTCCTGGGTGACCAGCTTGAGGTGACCCTGTGGAGTCTCCATCCTTGGAGATAACTCCAAAGATGTGTGTGTGGTCCTGGGTGACCCTGCTTGACCCAGAGGTCTGGAGCTCCAGAGGTCCCTTCCAACCTCACCCATGTCGTGATAAGATACCAAAAATACTGAAGGGAGAAGTCTGGGCTGGAAGGGAAGACCTAGAGATGGGAGAGCACAGGTTTGATTTGTTTGAAAACAGCTAAAATGTGAAGTCTGGCTGTTCCCTTTAGCCTGCTAACTCAGCCAGTTGCTGTTCCCTTAGGCATGGGAACCAAACCTGTTGTGAGCTCCTGACTTGCCCAATTTTAGTGATCACGAATCAATCCATCCCTTAATTAGTTCCCTTTCCCATGTATCTATCAAAGCCTCATTCAGCAGCAGAATCACTCCAGGGTGTTCCTGCTGCCCTGACTTGATGCAGTGATGTTCCTCTTCTTCCAGTCATTGGGTTGCAGTTTCATCCTCTTTGTATCAAACCAACAAGTACCAGTGGAAGCCTTTTTCTTGGCCTTGATTGGGGCAGGGAAGGGGTCACCTTGTGTTGTTTTAAAACAAGATTCAACACTTCCTATGTTTATGATGCTGAGCTGGAAATGAGGGAGTCCTCACAGGCAAAAAAATGCCATTAACCTGCTGTTTGATGCAAGCCAACAACTTTTTTTTTCTTCCTGGTTTGACCATCAAGAAAACATGAGGGCTTTTTTTTGTTGTTGTTCTTCTTGCTTTGGACTGGGGGTTCCTTAATTCATTTGGATACAGGAAGATGCAAAATTCTGCCTGGGAATATGATTTGATTTGATTTTGCTCAGAGAAGAGGCTGGCTGTGTGCTCTGAATTCCATAGGTGGCTATCATAATGCTAGGTTGAATTTAAGAGTGAAATTCTTGCCTACAAGGGAAGAACCTTGGCAAAGGTGGAAATCAAGCCCTTTGTCAATCAAAGGTAACATTGTGCAAAGGTCAGAAGATCTTTCTACTAAATTGCCCACTCTCTTCTCCTTAGATTTGAGGAGTTGCACCAAATAAGCAGTGTTCTAGCCAGTTATTTTTCAGGAGTCAGCTTAAAATCAACCAAACAAGTTTTCTCAAGTAGTTAAGATGGAAAATGAATTTAAAAAAAAAACAACAATAAAAAAATGAGATGGTTTTTAAGTTTACTTCAAAAACACATCTGGATTTATTAAACACATGCTTTAAGTACACACCCCAAAGTGGGAACACAGCAAGCTTTTTGGAGAATGGAATTCAATTACTTAAGAATAAAACTTGCTGTTTTGTCAAACTATGGAAAGAAGGCTTTTTTGATATCTGAATATTTTCTTCAGATGGTCTTGGTGGTATTGGCATGGGATTAGGACCTGGAGGTCAACCTATTGATGCAAATCATTTAAACAAAGGCATGGGAATGGGCAACATGGGACCTGGAGGTAAGAAGATTACTCCTATGCTTTTGTTTCATGAGAGCTTTAAGCTGTGTAGAAGGTAGATAGTTTTGTTTTGCCTACACACAAAAAAAAGAGTTGAAGTGTTTTAGGAGTGTTAAAGCCACATGTTGAGCCTGAGTGATGAGCTTGATGATGGAAACTTGAATTTAACCAACTGCTCCATATTTTTTTTTCCACTGTAGTCAAGGCACAGCTCTCATTTTCTGACTCTTGAGCATGAGCAGCAGACACTGCAAATATACATGAAACTTTTCAAACCATCTGTCACTTAACACTTCCTAGTGGGCTTGCAAATCTTTTGTTGAGGAGATGTTGAAACAGCACAAGTTTTAAAGAGCCACCTAAAAAGTAGCACACATTCAGCTTTCAATTTATCAATGCCTATGGGTTTTTTTTCCCCTTTGCTGCTTGACTTTTCTGAGAAGGGATGTTGCAATCTACTCAGTTACCAGATGTAAGCTCTCCAGTCCAACCAGTGGACATGGTTGTCTGGTCTTTTATTTCTACAGCCAGTCAAATGGCTGAATCACTCTAGGATTACATCTGTGACATAAAGCTTTCTCTTTTATTTTGAGGAATGGGAATGGAAGGCATGGGCTTTGGAATGAATAAAATGGGAGGTAAGCTGTGGTTTTTTTGGCATGTCTATAGCTTTGGGCTTCTGGAAGGTCATGCAAACCTAACCATGTATGTCCTGCAGGCTTCTGTGTTCTTTGAAATCATCACCCAGTTACTAATAACTTGTTCCTTTTTGAATGTTAGTTAAACTGGTGTAGGTGGATGGGGGAGGGTTAAGATCTCAACCAAAACATGACCAGTTTTCTTGATCTTAGTTGACATACCTGTGGCCAAATCCTGATCACATGTTAGTTTGTGAATCTCTGATACACAGAATTGTTTTGGGGCCTGTGGAATAAATCACAGTCATGAAATGGTTTGGGTTGGAAGGGACCTCAAAGATCATCTAGATCCAACCCCCCTGCATGGGCAGGGACACATCCTACTAGACCAGGTTGCTCCAAGCCCCATCTGTTCTGTGAAAGCAGCTTGTGTGAGTGAAGTGTGGCATGAGGTTGAAATGCACAGATTAAAAAAAGTCCTGTCAAATATTTTTCTGGTAGGAATGGAAGGTCCTTTTGGTGCCATGGAGAACATTGGTCGCTTCCCAGCTGGAATGAACATGGGCAGAATGAGTGGTAAGCATTTGGTTTGTTGTATATCCAGCTCCTGAGTGATGTTCTCTGGAAGTGGAACCCTGGACAGAGACTCCCTGGACTGAGCATTTTCTTTTCTGAGCTTTTACTGGAAAAATTTAAGGCTTCCACTTGGCATAGTGTCCTAGAATGGTGAAGGTTGGAAGGGACCTCAAAGGTCATCAGCTTCCAGCCTCCCTGCTATGAGCAGGGACACCTCCCAGCAGCCCAGGTTGCTCCAAGCCCCATCCAACCTGCCCTTCAACACTGCCGGGGAGGGGGCAGCCACAGCTTCCCTGGGCAACCTGTTCCAGTGTCTCACCACCTTCGTGCCTGATGTCTCACCTAAATCTCCCCTTTTTCAGTTTAAAACCATTCCCCCTTGTCCTATCACTAACCTCTCTGGTGAAAAGCTTCTCCCCATCTTTCCTGTCAGTCCCCTTTAGTTATTAGAAGGTGCTACAAGGTCTCTCCAAAGCTTTCTCCAAGTGTCCACAAGTCACTCATGGCCTCTGAGCTGCAGCTGGTTCCTTGAGGCTGCCTCAAAGGACTAGTTTAGAAAGAGATAAATTGTGCTCTGTGCATTCACCAGCAAAACTTCTCTAGAACAAAGTAGCTTTGTCCATAATGAGATCAGTCCTGCTTTGAGGGTCTTCTTCTCAAAGAAGACAGGCTAAAGTGATCAGAAGAACATAATTAAAACCTTGCCTTGCTGTTAAGCTTTAAAAATTAGATCTGTATTAAACTTTTACCTCAGGAGTCATTTAGACACCCTGAAGAATATATCAAACCTTAACCTTTTCAGAGATGGATCGTGCCATGGGGGCAGGATTTGAAAGAGAATTTGGAAGAAATGAAATGGGAATGTCTCGTAGTTTTGGAGAGACCTTGGAGAGAGGAATAGGTGAGTACACCCAGAGAAGGGCTTTCACTACCTGCTTTTCATACCTGAGCTGCACATTAAAAATGGGCTGTGTTTTGTTGGAACAAAACAGACTGTCTTTGGTAGTTACTTGCTGCAAGAGTTTGAAGTTCTCTCTGTAGCAGCTTGGAGATGGCAAAAGGTACTAACTGTGCTTTGTGGACAAGCTTCAGAACTTGCATGTTTTTCATGTTTTCTGTCTCTGCACACTTGGATTCAGCCACGTCCTGGAAGGGCTCTGGTGTTGCTGTGCTCTGTTAATTTGATGGAACTTAGAAATATAACATCACAGCATGGTGAAGGTTGGAAGAGACCGTAAAGATCATCAGCTTCCAACCCCCTGCATGGGCAGGGACACCTCCCACCAGCCCAGGCTGCTCCAAGCCCCATCCAACCTGCCCTTCAACACTGCCAGGGATGGGGCAGCCACAGCTTCCCTGGGCAACCTGGGCCAGGCTCTCACCACCCTCACACTCCACAATTCCCTCCTCATGTCTCACGTCAATCTCCCTCTGCCACTTTTCATCCATCCCCCCTTGTCCTCTCCCTCCCTGCCCTTGTCCCAAGTCCCTCCCCAGCTTTCCTGGAGCCCCTTCAGGCCCTGGAAGCTGCTCTAAGGTCTCCCTGGAGCCTTCTCTTCTCCAGGCTGAACACCCCAACTCTGTCTCCAGAGCAGAGCTGCTCCAGCCCTTGGGTCATCTCCATGGCCTCCTCTGGACTCTAACCAGGAGTTTCCTTCTTACCTTGGGTGCTCCAGAACTGGACACAGAACCTGCAGCAGGAGAGCACAGAGTCACCTTCCTGAATGAAGCTGCTGCTTGAAGCCTTTCACTTGTGTAAACCTGTTTTTTTATATCCCTGCGTGGTCACTGATCATCTTTGTGTTGTGTTCCAGGTGGTGGAAATGCCAGCATTCCTGGGATTGAGAGGATGGCACCTGGCATTGATCGTATGGGCTCGGGAATAGAAAGAATTCCTTCTGGGATGGGACATGGGATGGAGAGAGTAGGGTCAGAAATAGACAGGATGGGGCTTGTTTTGGATCGAATGGGCTCCAACGTGGAGAGAATGGGTTCAGGAATTGACCGGATGGCCCCTCTGGGCATAGATCACATTGCTCCCAACATTGAGAGGATGGGTCCAGCTCTGGAGAGGATGGGATCTGGCATAGAAAGGATGGGATCTGGCATAGGATTTGGGATCGAGAGGATGGGCGCTGCCATCGACCGCGTTGGCACCACCATGGACAGAATGGGCTCAGGGGTGGAACGGATGGGAGCTGGCATGGAACGGATGGGGCTAGGCATGGAGAGGATGGTCCCTGCTGGAATGGGAACTGGAATGGGGCAGGTGATAGAGAGGATGCCTGCTGGTCTGGATCGCATAGGAGCCACTCCCATGGAGAGAATAGGAATAGAGCGGATGGGAGCTGCTGGCATGGAGAGGATGGGCTTGGAGCGCATCGGAGCCACTAACATGGAGAGGATGGGTCCTCCCATGGGCCAGGGCATGGGAGCAGGCATAGAGCGAATGGGACTTGCAATGGGAAGCAATTTTGAAAGACCCATGGACATGGAACGTGGCAACTTTGCAGGCAATTTTGCAGGCTCCCTCGGAGGTGCTGGAGGACCTGCAGCTGGGGTGGCCCGGAAAGCCTGCCAGATATTTGTGAGAAATGTGAGTAGTTTTTCTTCAGACCTTCTTCACAGCCCTTTTGAGTCATTGGGACCAACACACTGAGCTCATGTGTGCTCAGCTGGCTCCAGTCAGAATATCTCATGCTGGATGTGGGGCTGGGTGGGATTCTGGGAGTTTGAGCCATTTCCTGAACAGGAACCTCTTGGCATCTCTCAGTGGTGATGCTGAGCAGTTCTTGTCCCATGTTTTGAAGAGCTGACAGTGCTTCCAAGCTGTTCAGATCCTCTGTAATGGTCTGTTTCTCTCTTTTCACAGCTGCCTTTTGATTTTACATGGAAAATGCTGAAAGATAAATTTAATGAATGTGGTAAGTTACTTCATCACTGCTTAATTACTCTTGAAAACTGAATAGGAATGGAACTCCTGGCTCCATGTCCCTGACACTGATTGGCTGATTCACTGGGAGGTTGTGTGGCCACCCAGCAGGGTTTGGACAAGGTGGGGAGCTGGGCAAAGAGGAACCTAAGGAGGTTCAACAAGTGTAGAGTCCTGCAGCTGGGGAGGAATAACATCAGGTACCAGTACAGGGTAGTAGCTGACCCTCTGGAAAGCAGCTCAGGACCTTGGAGTCCTGGTGGACAACAAGTGATCCATGGGACATCGATGTGCCCTTGTGGCCAAGTGTGTCCAGCAGGTCAGGGAGGTTCTCCTGCCCCTCTTCTCTGCCCTGGGAAGACTACATATGAAGTGTTGTGTCCAGTTCTGGGCTCCCCAGTTCAGGAGGGTGAGGGATAAACTAGAGGGAGTCCAATGGAGGCTGCAGGGATGATGAAGGAACATCTGTCTGATGAGGAGAGTCTGGAGAAGACTCAGAGGGCTCAAGTATAAATACCTGAAAGGTGGGTGTCAAGGAGGAGGGGCCAGTCTATTTTTAGTGGTTCCCTGTGATGGGACAAGGGGCAGTGGATGCAAAGTAGGACCCAGGAAGTTCCACCTGAGCACAAGGAACAACTTCTTCCCAGTGAGATCTTCACCTCAACCCACCCCCCGAGCAGAAACGTCGCGCCATCCCAAACCCAATCCCACTTTTGGGTGACTGAAGTTGAAGTTAACCCAGCTCCTTTCTGTTCCTTTGACAGGCCACGTGCTCTATGCAGATATCAAGATGGAGAATGGGAAGTCCAAAGGTTGTGGGGTGGTCAGGTTTGAATCCCCAGAGGTGGCTGAACGTGCCTGTCGCATGATGAACGGGATCCAGCTCCGGGGCAGGGAGATCGACGTCCGAATCGATAGGAATGCTTAAGTAGTTGCCTTTTTAAACACTTTGAAGACCTGATTTTTGTTGGGTTGTTTTGTTGTTTTGGTTCTTTTATTTTTTCTGGGGGGGAATTTGTATTTTTTCTTGTTATAACCCATTTTAATTTCGACTGGATGTAAAAGTGTTTAAAAAACCAACCCCCTCCCCCTGCCCCGACCAACCCGATTCAGTTGCTTTTCTGGAGTAATTTTAATTACTTTTTTAAACAAATGGATTTCCATTTTACTGGTTTTTTGAATTGATTTAAAAAACCAACCCCCTCCCCCTGCCCCGACCAACCCGATTCAGTTGCTTTTCTGGAGTAATTTTAATTACTTTTTTAAACAAATGGATTTCCATTTTACTGGTTTTTTGAATTGAAACTGCAACGTGCACAAATCTCTTTTTTTTTTTGTTTTGTAGTTGTGGCATCTTGTTGACATGACAGATGTAACCAGGATGACTTTGATAATAAATGCAAGTTAAAGATCTCAAGTCACAGCATCTGTTACTTCTAGAACCCCCTTTGGTTGCCAAAACAAACCCCTCCCCCTTCTCACTGTCAAACCAGAGTGTTCCTCATGGTTGTCCTTTACTGGGAGTTGGGGTTTTGGGAAGGGCTGCAGTTGTGTCTGCCCTGGAATGGCATTGGAGTGCAGGGCACTTCCCTTTCCTCTCCCCACACCTCCTCCATCACCACTGGTAGCAGCTGATTAAAGAGCAAATAATAAAGCAAAGAACTTTTAACTTCAGTTGTGTCAGTGCCCTAATCCAGGCCTGAACTGAAAATGGATTTAAAAAAACAACTCTTATTTTTCCTGAAACCATGGAGGATTTGGGTGGGGGTTTGCAGGGAGGGGTGACAGCTCCAGGTCAGGAGGGAAGGCAGAAGGTTTTGGGTTAATTCATCTTCTGCAACTCATTTTAATGACATAAATGGGAGTGTGAGGGTGGTGAGAGCCTGGCCCAGGTTGCCCAGGGAAGCTGTGGCTGCCCCATCCCTGGCAGTGTTGAAGGGCAGGTTGGATGGGGCTTGGAGCAACCTGGGCTGGTGGGAGGTGTCCCTGCCCATGCAGGGGGTGGGACGTCCAACCCAAACCCTCCGAACGGTTCTAAGGTGCCGGTGACCGGGAAGCTGAAGCTCAGGGACCTCCCCCCGTTCCCGGTGCCTGTTGAAAAAAAAGTCTCCACGAGCCACTTTGAATACCCCGAGCGAACGCAGGGGCCGCCGCTGCTTGAGAGGAGCAGAGAGAGGATCCTTCTACTTGGTGCTTTGGGTTAAAAACCCCCCTCAACCGTCCCAGCCCTTACAGAACGTTCGTTAAAAAACGCCGTTAACGGGACAGCGGAGCCGGGCCTGGGTGGGCTCGTCCTGCCGGGGCTGTTGGAGAATTCACCTAGCACATGGGAAAACCAATTGCATATCTAATCTCAAGAGGATTCAAATGCTCATCTCCCCCTGTTTAGAGAGAGCCCTAACAATCAATCTGGAGGTGTTCTGGGAGTGTGTCTGGAGGGCTGATGAGGATGTGCTCAGCCCAGCCTTCTGAGGCTGTTCTGCAATGCAGAGAAACGTAACTCATGATTCACCTGGCTGGAAATAGGGCAGAAGGAACGCAACTCTTCATCTCAGACTTAGGTCACTTGCTGTGGAAAAGAGGGATACCACACCTGGCTTCCACTAAACACTCTCAGGTGATTTTTCAATAGAAAAGCATAAGTAGTGACACATAAAGAGCAGTAAACAATGTGTGAAAACAACAGCAGTCTCACACCATTTAGAGAATTACAATTTATTGATAAGTGCTCCAGAAGTCAAATTCTTTCCTTTCTAATCATCAGCAAGGCTCAGGCTGGGGGAAGACTGTTTGTCCATCAAGAGAAAGCTAAAACTGCCTTTGATGCAAGTGATCAGCTGTCAGAAAATTAAATTCTCCCACGCTTTCCCTTGTGCCGGGATCCCCTGAGGGCACCGAGATCCCCTGAGAGCACCGGGATCCGCTGGGGGCACCGGGATCCCCTGGGGCTCCGGGCCCGGCTCCTCCCCCACCAGTGCCTCAGGGCCCCCAGTTGCTCCCCAGTTGCTCCCCAGTTGCTCCCCAGTTGCTCCCCAGTTGCTCCCCAGTTGCTCCCCAGTTGCTCCCCAGTTGCTCCCCAGTTGCTCCCCAGTTGCTCCCCAGTTGCTCCCCAGTTGCTCCCCAGTTGCTCCCCAGGGCTCACGTTCCAAAGGAGCTTTTCCCGGTGCTGAGCGTTGGTGGGAACTGGGGGCCAAGAGGTGCTGGTTTGAAAAGCCCCTTTGGGGTGTGAGGGGCTTGGAAGCTGGTGGATCTGGTGGTGAAATGTGGGGGGTTTCAGTGTTTCTGCCCAGCAGCATGGAAGGAACGTGCCTTTTGGCCAAGAAGTGCCCTCAGTTCAGTCTGCCCTGAGCTTTAATGCCCCTTCTTACAGTTAATTGAGATGCTGAGTTGCTACATCTAATAATTAATGTCTCCTGTTGATACATCTAATAATGAATCTCTTCTTGCATCAAAGCCTGGCCTGAGGGATGAAGGCAGGTTGTGGGTAATGTTCCCTTCCTTGATTTAAACTGGGTACTTGAAGTTAGTGGAGCTTAAATGTAACTATAGAGGCAATAAATAAAGAGGGAGCTGAATTAATAAGATGGGAGTTAATAAAAAAGAAACCAGGGAGTTCATGTGCCCATGAAGAGGTGGGTGTTTCCTTGTTGGTTTGGGCACAGGAAAGAAGCATCTTCAGCTGACAAGTTGTTCTCCAAGGTCATCGTGGCCAAATCTGTTTGTCCATGTGGTGTTTTATGGGGTTTTTATTATTATTCTTTAGGGTGGGGAGTTTGAGGGATGATCTGGTAGAGAAGGGTTGCGAGGTTTGGCAACGTGGGCCTGTCCAGCACAGGAGGTAAAAGGTGCTGGTTTGGCCTGAGCTGAGGCCAAAGGTGGGGAAAAAAAGAGGGAAAGAGGGATCAGGTCAGTGCTGAAGGACCATTTTCAGGGAATAAAGGGAACCCACGTGCATGATCTGCTTGCAGAGTGGGGTGCTGGAGCTGTGTGGCACCAGGGTTGGCAGCTGGTGATCTCAGCTAGGTGATCAGCTGGTGATCTGGTGACCTACTCTGTCACTCCAGGCAGCACATGGGCTTGTCACCTCCACCCAACCCACCTTGGAGGTGGATGTTGTGCTGCTCAAACACCTAACAGGACTTTTTAGGGATGGCTCCAACCCTTGGGATGTCCTCACAGCCCACACCAGTGGTTCCTGCCTGTCCACACTCTTGTTCCTTGGCTCTCTGAAGTGACTAAAATACCTCCTGCCAATCTTCATTTCCTGCTAACCTGATGCTGTGTTTTCCTTGCAGAAATGTCTCATCAGTGGCTTGTGGCTCATCTCCAGGAGATACCCAGTCCCTGCAGTTCCCAGGGGAGCAGCCTATGGACTGGGCAGGCCTGTTCTAGAGATCCAGCAGGTTGGTGAACAGCTACATGGATTTTATTTCAGCCCCAAAAGCAGTTTCCCACTAGAGCACTGACCTGCTGGGTGTGCTTGTGTTCCTGACCAGTGATAGGGTGAAAGTTGCCGCTTCTGAAGATCTATCTACAGATGTTGTCACAGCTGAGGCCAAGGGACAGAGCTCTGGGTGGTGCTCTGGTAACTTCACCTCCCAGATGGTTTAAGCTTTGACTCCAGAGGCTGTTTCATAGAATCACCTGAGGTTGGAAAAGATTCCTAAGGTCAGCAAGTCCAACCATCAACCCAACACCACCATCTTTAAGCCTTTGGAGTTAAACTTCCTCTGGAGAAGCAGCTTTTTTTTTACTAGCTATGTGGTTGTACTTCACAGGACATGGAAATGAGTTGAACATCCAGCTGCTTTGAAGCTAAACAGCTTCTTTTTCCAGATAGTTTTATGTTTTCATGGAATTATGGAATGGTTTGGGTGGGAAGGGACCTTAAAGATCATCCAGTCCAACCCCCCTGCATGGGCAGGGACACTTCCCAGCAGCCCAGGCTGCTCCAAGCCCCATCCAACCTGCCCTTCAGCACTTCCAGGGATGGAACAACCACATCTTCCCAGGAAAACCTGTTCCAAGGTCTCACCACCCTCCCACTTTTCCCACAACATTTAATACTTTAGGACTGACCCAGTCTTGGCTAAAAGAAATCTGACTTGGTTTGAAATGAATGTCTCCTTGGATTCTCCAACCTGTCATGGTTCTCTTTAGTCTAGATGCTACTCTGCTGGAGGAAGAAAAGGTTTTATATCAGGTTTTGTGGAGAACATCAAACAGGAATTAGCAAAAAACAAGGAGATGAAGGAAAGTATTAAAAAATTCCGAGATGAAGCAAAAAAGCTGGAAGAATCTGATGCTCTCAGAGAAGCCAGGAGGAAATATGTGAGTGTTCCTCATGGATTCCATGGGTGTTTTCATTGCCCGCTCACTGACCTGTTACTGTTCTGAATGGCAATTTGTGTCTTTCTGCACATGGACTGTTTAGTTCAGCCTGGATGTTTTTATGAGAAGTTCTGCTTGGCTGGAAACCCTGACTGGGAAATGGAGGTTTGAGAGTAATGGGGTTTATTTTTAGTGGAGAATCTTTCCAACAGATCCTTCACTGCATTTGTAGAACCATGGAATGGTTTAGGTGGGAAGGGATCTTAAAGATGATCCAGTCCCACCCCCTGCATGGGCAGGGACACCTCCCACCAGCCCAGGTTGCTCCAAGCCCCATCCAACCTGCCCTTCAACACTGCCAGGGATGGGGCAGCCACAGCTTCCCTGGGCAACCTGGGCCAGGCTCTCACCACCCTCACACTCCACAGTTTCCTCCTCATGTCTCACCTCAATCTCCCTCTGCCAGTTTTCATCCATCCCCCCTTGTCCTCTCCCTCCCTGCCCTTGTCCCAAGTCCCTCCCCAGCTTTCCTGGAGCCCCTTCAGGCACTGGAAGCTGCTCTAAGGTCTCCCTGGAACCTTCTCTTCTCCAGGCTGAACCCCCCAACTCTCCCAGCCTGGCTCCAGAGCAGAGCTGCTCCAGCCCTTGGATCATCTCTGTGGCCTCCTCTGGACTCTCTCCAGGAGCTCCATGTCCTTCTTACCTTGGGGGCTCCAGAACTGGACACAGAGGTCTCATGAGAGCAGAAGGGACAATCCCCTCCCTGGCCCTGCTGTCCACCTTGCTGGTGCTGCCACAGCCCACGTAACAAGTAGATAAAATAATGAGACATTAATTTTAACACTGACAATATTCAAATAACTTCTCTTCCATTCCCTGAAGAGCTTTCATTGCACAACTGAAGTGCTAATGCTGGTTGCTCAAGCACCTGCTCCTGAAGCTGTAGCTCCTTTTTGCCCTCAATTACAGTGTTCATGGGCTGTGCTCTGAGTTCTGGTTCTGAGTATTTTCTGCCCTCTTTTCCACAGAAAACCATTGAGTCTGAAACAGTGAAGACCTCAGAAGTGATTAAAAAGAAACTTGAAGAAATAACTGGGACAGTTAAAGAGGTAAAACTCAGCTCTGGAATCAACCTGCCCTAAGACAGTTCTGCTCTGGGATGATGGGTGGTGGTGAGGAATGAGATGCTTCTCACACTGATGCTTTTTGCTGCTGTTGGGGTTGGGCTTTTAGCTTCTCAGTGGGTGTGGAAAAAGACTTGGAGCACCAGGAGCTCCAGGAAGTGCTGGTGGGGCTGGTGAAGTGCTCTGCTCTCTGCATCCTGTCAGTGATCCCAGGGCTCTGTGTGTCTGGGGAGTAACACCATTCCTGGAGGAGCAGGCTCATACCAGGCTGGGCCTTGCAGATCCCTCTGTGGATTTGCCTTTAAGCAGTTGAATCCAAGTTATTTTTTAGGCTGGGACTAAGTTGTGCAGCTTGTGCTTCTTTAATCTGTTTCTTTCTTTCTTTCATTCTTTCTGGGCTTCTTCCAGGCAGCAGATGTGTTTATTTCATGGTCTTTCACCTCTGCTGTAAACCTGCCAGTCCCCAGGAGGTGGCACTAAGTAGAAGAGCTGGAAAAAGGCTGTTATTCCAGTCTCTGCCACCCTGAGGGTCATTTCCAAGCACCTGAGCCTTTGTTTTTCTCTCCTCCTGATTAAACTAATTACATCAGCAATGACGGAAACCTTCTTGTTCTTAAAGGGAGTACAGGATTTTCTGCAGTAAGTCCCAGCTCAGAGGTGCTTTGGGAGGCTCTTCACTTGAAGCACATGAATTTTCTGCTCAGACCAGCCTGATCTTGGCCACTTTTCAGCTCTGTTTTAAGACCAAACCTGATGTGATTGTTCCCAACACTTGCAGTCAGGTGCAGGATCCCTCCTGAGAACCAGCCAGCCAAGCCCTGGGATTTAACTGAGCCATATGGAGCTGGTCCCTGCTCTGCTCCTTTTGCTCATTCTGTCTACACTGGTGGAGCTTAACTGGGAGCTGCACCTAGTGCTCCTTGCTGGTGTGGGCACCACCAGGACCTTCCCAGTGCTGTCAAGGGGGCTGTAAGCATCTTCATTAGCCAAATGCCACTGAAAACAAGGGAAAATGCTTATAAATATCTCCAGGGGGTGGCAGGAGGATGGGGCCAGACTCTGCTCAGGGGTGCCCAGGGACAGGACAAGGGGCAATGGGCACAAACTGGAGCCCAGGAGGGTCAAGTGAAACATGAGGAAACACTTCTTGACTGTGAGGGTGGCAGAGCCCTGGGACAGGCTGCCCAGGGAGGCTGTGGAGTCTCCATCCCTGGAGACATTCCCAGCCCACCTGGATGTGTTCCTGTGGGATCTGCTCTAGGGGATCCTGCTCTGGCAGGGGTTGGACTGGATGATCTCCAGAGGTCCCTTCCAGCCCCCCCACTCTGGGATCCTGTGAAGAACCTTTGCTACTGTGATCCCATCATTTCTCTTAAGCAACAAGAAGCGCCCGATTGTTTCCCAGGAAAGGGAGGGAGTAGTTTGGCTCTGGCATCATGACTCTTTGAGGGCAAGAAAAACAGATACAACTTTAAATTCTCTGTTCAAAGTGTGTGTGGTGCCATGAGCTGCCAGAATTGAGCAGCCAAAACTTGAGTAGCCAAAATTGAGCAACCAAAACCTGCACAGAGGTGGTGGCTGATCCTGCAGAGCCAAATCTCCCTGGGCCGTGTTGGTGTGTTCACCTTAGGTTTTCTTAACCTTCTCAAATGTGTGGGGTCTTCAGCAGTCACAAAGAGGAGTTACTTATAAGTAAAATAACCTTTTCTTTCCTGTTTTCCTTCCATTGCAGAGTTTGGATGAAGTCAGTAAGAGTGATATTGGCAGGAAGATCAAGGAAGGTGTGGAAGAAGCAGCAAAAACAGCAAAGCAGTCTGCAGAGTCAGTGACTAAAGGAGGGGAGAAATTAGGCAAGACAGCAGCTTTCAAAGCTATTTCTCAGGTAAATAAATCCTCTGCCACTCTAGGACCCAGCTCTGTGGACATTACCATGGAAATTAGGTGTGAGTTTGTGCTGAGGATGCAAATGAAATGCAAAACTCTTCAGGCAAGACCTTGTGAGGCAGGAAATCCAGGAGGTGGAGTGTGCAGGGCCAGGATTCACTCACCAGCCCTCAGACAGTGTCAGGCTGGAGCAGCTGAGTTCCTGCTGGAAAAATGGGTTGCTGTGCTTGTGGAGGAGGGGAGCAAACATCTCCTGTGGGTAGCCCTGGGGACAAACTGGTTTGCTAAAGCTCTCAGTCATGGAATCATGGAATGGTTCTGTGGGAAGGGACCTTCAATACCGTTTAAATCCAATGCCCCTGCAAGCTGGGAGTGCCTACTTGATTTATTCCCATTTAAACCCTGCAGAGGTTCCCTGTTATCACCTGTACCCTTTCATGTGTCCATAGTTCTACTATTTTGGGGTTTTTTTGTCCTTCAGATTGAGTCAATACCACCATCCTTTTGCTTCATTCCTGGAGCAGAAATGTGGGTGTCCAGAAGCGTTTGCTGAGTGAGGGAGAGAAGAAGACCCTCTGATCTCTGACATTTGATTTCTTCTTTTGATTTTCAGTTTCTAGGGAAAGGGGAAGGGGAATAGTTAATCAGCCTAAGAGGGATATTTGCCTTTCAGGGTGTAGAAACTGTGAAGAAGGAGATAGATGAGAGTGTTTTAGGCCAGACTGGTCCTTACAGACGCCCGGAGCGACTACGGAAAAGAACAGAATTCTCAGGAGAGAGGATTAAAGAGGAGAGAATATTTGAAGCCAATGAGTAAGTATTGGATGTGATTTAGGGGGAATGTTTCTCTGTTTTGTTTGGTAAAAATGCTTGCAAACTTCTGGTCAGGGGTGGTTCAAACCCAAGTGCTGGAGTCGGTTGAGGTGGGACCTGGCAGAACAGGGAAGTGTGAGAGGCAGTTCCCAGCAGAAGTTGATGGTGATGAATCTTCTGATGGTGAAACTGGGCACTGAAAATTACAAAGTGGGTGTGTAAGAAGATCCTGACATGGAATTTGGTCTTGCACATAGAATCATGTCATAGAATCCTGGAATGGTTTGGGTTAGAAAGGACCTTAAAGATCATCCAGTCCCAACCCCCTGCATGGGCAGGGACACCTCCCACCAGCCCAGGCTGCTCCAAGCCCCATCCAACCTGCCCTTCAACACTGCCAGGGATGGGGCAGCCACAGCTTCCCTGGGCAACCTGGGCCAGGCTCTCACCACCCTCACACTCCACAATTCCCTCCTCATGTCTCACCTCAATCTCCCTCTGCCACTTTTCATCCATCCCCCCTTGTCCTCTCCCTCCCTGCCCTTGTCCCAAGCCCCTCCCCAGCTTTCCTGGAGCCCCTTCAGGCCCTGGAAGCTGCTCTAAGGTCTCCCTGGAGCCTTCTCTTCTCCAGGCTGAACACCCCAACTCTCCCAGCCTGGCTCCAGAGCAGAGCTGCTCCAGCCCTTGGTTTTCTCAGCTCTAACCCCTTGCTATTAAACTACCTTGGGCAGGGCCAACCCTGAGCTCCTCTCTCTGCTGCCTTGCTCCCCTAACTGATGTATCATTTTCCAGCCTCAGAGGTACTCCTGCTGCAACCATCCTCCTTCTCCTTTTTATTCTCACTGGCTTGTAAATGACTGGATCTCTTGTATCTTCTGCACTTCCTAGGGAGGCCATGGGTGTGGTGCTGCACAAAGACTCCAAATGGTATCAGCAGTGGAAAGACTTCAAGGACAACAACGTGGTCTTCAACAGTAAGTGTTCCCAAGACAAAGGAGTAACATGTTATTTTTCCCCTCTCCTCATCCTTGCTGTGTTGGATCTCCTGCCATTTGTGCAACTAGTCTCAACATACTGCAGATCACAGCCCTTTTCTTGTTGTAGCTGCTGCTCTGAGGTGTGTGTGGATGGGAGGTGGGTGTAGTTGACAACACTGCAGCTTTTCCAAGCTGCTCCATCTGTGTTTGGACCCTTCTCCCAGCCAGGCATTGTTTTTAATCAGTCCCTGCTCCCTGTAGGTGCCAAAACTTGCTTTCCCTATTGCTTCAAGAGCTGAATTCTGCTCTTTTATGTATTTTTTTTTCCTGTCAGACTCACTCTGGCACTGGGAAGAGGCCAGGGCATGTCACCAGGGAGAGGGCAAGCAGATTTCTTCTTAACCTTGAAGAAAAACAAACCCTTGTCTTGAGTGAGCTGGTTTCTCTTGTCACCTGTTAAAAGCTCTGAGATGTGTGGGACTTTGCCTCCATTTTGCTGCAAAACCTAAAAATATTAACTATCTGTACTGCAGGAGGCAATAACTTCTGATAGTTATCCAGAAACCTGATGTTTATGAAAGGCATAAAAAAGCCTGAGGGCAGAATCCTGCAACAAATCAAGATCATCTCTGCCCCTGTGAGCAGGGAGAAGCATTTGTTACAGGAGAAGAGGTGGTGCAAAAGTGCAACACCCAATTAGCTGTGGATTGTGTTTCTTCCCAGCTTCTCTTAAAGCAGAGATACTTGGGAGGTGTCCAAGAATGGCTTTGACATCCTATTTATTAACCTTTCCAAGGAGAAGTTCTTAGCTCCTCAACCCCCATCGTGTTGCATCCCCCTCTCCTGTGCCATCTGCACAGCTCTGTGAGTTCAGAGATGGTTTGGGTTGGAAGGACCTACAAGATCATCCAGATCCAACCCCCTTGCATGGGCAGGGACACCTCCCACCAGCCCAGGTTGCTCCAAGCCCCATCCAACCTGCCCTTCAACACTGCCAGGGATGGGGCA